CAACTTGTTTAAATTTGCAAGGAAAAAAATTCGAAGCGCGAGAAAAGGCGCAACTTTAAATATTTTTAGTGTAATGAATGATTTGATTTGCAATGGGCCGAATTATTTCTGTTTGTACTATACATAGCGTCGCGCACAGTGTAGCAAACTTAGCGCCTCGGAAAAATGGCGGACTGCTCGTATTCGCGATGTATCCAACAGAAGCGATATATTAGAAGAGAGCTACAAAGATGGACAAAAAATATGGTGTATATAGTGGGTGAGTGCATAATCCCTTACAAATCAGGCTTACAGTAAAATTACGTAGGAAAATCTGTTGGAAAAGCGGTTCGTTTCAAGGATAAATTTCCAAATGCATGTGTAACCTGTTGCAGATTTCAAGGATTTTCTCAATTTTTTTCACTTATGTGTACGTAATTGTGCTAGTTTTTGTTCTGAAAAATTCATTTCACCAATGCACTTTTTAGACGTCCAACTTTTTTTGCATTTCTCCGGTTTCCTTTCTTCCGGGTGCAGTTAATGATTTTTTAAGATGCACTTTTTTAAATGCGTCGTAGTAGCATTTTCGACTGACCGCGCCGAATTCAACAACCTTTGTTGTTAAATCGCTAAATTGTCTAGAAAATTCGTATGGAATCTTGCTGCAACGTGCTCCCCCGATTTTCAAATCGAGCGGCACGCGCGATTATTTTTTTCCCATTCAATTTGGGGCGTTTTCTACCGACGATGTTTTCGTGAAGACGACGGGGTGAAATGCAACACATTTAATTGGCCTCGATTTCCTTTAAATTCAACAAACAAAAATTATTGTCGATTTAATTACAAATGGTATCCTTTCATTAATTGCGGTTATGCCCTAATATCGGATATTCAGGTCAAATTAACCATATTACATTTTTGCAATTAATACTTCCTCGCGCGATTAAAAACGCGATTTCGAAAAAGCTCGCATCTAAAAGCGTGCGCCCCAATTTAAGCGCGCATTTTCCAAAACGGCTACAAATTCTAGGTTTAGGTTAAACTGCATTGTAAATAATCTAATATTAACATATAAATGTCAAGCTAACCGTGAGCTAGATTTGTGGTAGGGTAAAACTTCGCCTGTAGAGTGCATCGCCGACTGCAATTGCATTTAAGACATGCGCGGGTTTCAATTCTGCTCTCCAGTTCGAATAAGAGGCACACGTGTAAAAACCCCTCGCAAAAATTTTCGGAAATCTCAACCGTCCGTCGAAGAAGCGCCATTTTCTCGACCCCGAAAATCGCAAGAATAGCGGAATCTAGGTTGAAAAACTGCAGAATGCATCTAACGACAGTTAGATTAAGTAGCGCACATCTACAAATTAACTGTTCATACAAAAATACCATAAATAGTAGTAAAAATTTGTGACCGTTTTATATACCTACCATTGTAACGTTGGTTCCTCAATTACGTACAAAAAATGAAAAACGAATCAATTGCGTATTAGATAAAACGCAGAGGTTCCGGAAATGTTGAACTATTAACTGCGGTTGTTAATGGAGTGCGAACAATCATCGTTATGAAATTAATGAAACGAAAAAGACGGAATAATAACATAATTATTCATCTTGAACTTGTTGCCTTTATAGTTTACATCACCATTACAACTAATGATTTGGACTGGTTTACCATCTTAAATCAGAAACTTATAACGGATACAATTTTAATACTTTCATGAACCTAGTATTACTTCCCCTGTCAATTAAAATGTACCTATGCTACTGCCATGGTGGTAAAAAATGAAGAAACAGCTTATTCGCATGAAAAAGAAGTTGAATTCACCATTCAGAAATCGAAAATATTAAGCTGGTGGACACACGTCACTGTATTGAATTCATTTCGCAATTAAAATATAATTGAAGTTAAGCTTAAAGCAACAAACGCAATTAAAGCTCAATTCACTACTTGCACACACGAGAATTCAATTCACAGTTAAAGTGAATCCTTTTTATTCTTCACTTCATTTGTTGAATTTAATCCGTTTGAGCAATTAAGCTTTGTATTCGAAACATGGTATGAAGCCTCCATCTCAAAAAGCTCCTATAAGAATTAAATGACTTTCTCATGTTCCCAAATTTGTAAAAATTACTTTTGAAACACAGCAGCTTTCGATAATTGAAGCCATGTGCTATTTCCTTGGTCTATGAACCTCGAGCACCTATTTCTAAACATTGTTTTATACAGTATTTTAAAGGCAATTTTAAAAGTGCTTCAATTTTGTGAGATGTTCTAGTTTAAACAGTGACTATTCCATAGCCAACTTATCGGTAAGCTCTTTTGAGATAGGCTTTTCTTCTTAGGTGCTAGCACTAAAATCGTTCCAGTTTTGTAGATCGCATTAAAAAAACTACATATTTATACCCTCCCTTATGCCTACCTATGTTTTATTTTGTACAGAAAGTTGCACAACGTCGAAACTCGCCTCGAACTAGACTATTAGATATTTAATTGAAATCAAATGTACCTAAGTACCTAATGTAATTTATGTCAAGTTTCACATTTTGAAAATGATGATATGAAAACGTTACCCTCAGAACCAAAATTGCTGTTGCTTTTGAAATCTCAACTAAGCAGCTTTTCGGCTGGGTTACGTTAGCACCCCTAAATCGGCACACCAGTTTGTTACAGCGCCAAAATTTTGTGCTAATTTGTGCACCAATCCCCAAATTGTTCCCACAATCGCGCAATCGCCTAAAACAATCCCGCAATCGTTGTGACAATCACATTGGCAATCGTGCACGCCCTCACCTGTATTTAGGTCACACGCTACGCGGGGTTAGGCAAAAAAGTTATTGGACCTAACTTTATTTTTTTTAATAGAGCGCCCTGTATTACTTAATCAACCCCTAAAAAAGCGGCACAGCACCTCGAAGTGACCCTACGCATCATTGGATTTGACCCATTTTCAATAGGCACATTACTTGTGGCATATAGGTCAACTATGCAAAGTTTGAACCAAATCGGTCCAAGAGTTTGACAGTTATCGTGTTCACGGACAGACGGACACCATCGACTCCCCTTATAAAGCTTGAATCGCTTTGCTCTGTCGCGTAATAATCTAAAATTAAAGCATATTTACTTTTAAAAACATATAATACACTAAGGGTGATATTCAAAAGGGGCTAAAAAAAGGTCAAATGATTTGATAAATATGTAGACAACATAATCTTTCGGTTTTTTAAATCTTTTGAATCTATTTGAATCAATATGGAATTTTTGTAGTGTTATATTTTGGAAAAGAGATTCTTAATATGATAGTTTTTGATTAAAATATTTCAATTTAAAATGTACGTAGGAAAATCAAAAAATTGTCAATCTCAGAATGAACCTATATTTCTTAAGCGAGATATAGAAATATTTTTACAAGTTTCTTTATAAGACTGTTGAAGAATCTACCGTTTTAAAATAAGTGTACGGGATCAGGTAAAAAAGCTAACCCGAGACTTAACCTCATTTTTAGTGGAAGGCTCTGTATATTTTACAAGAAAAAGAGCATATTAAATTCGCTTTCCAAAAATATAACACTAGAGAAATATAAAAAATGCAATATTGGATTTTTAAAAAAATCTAATTTAATTAATATTCTTTAGAATTTTTTTTGAATCACTTGTATTTTCCCTATTTATTGCGATTGCGTTACATATTAAAAAGGAAAATTTTAATATGCTTCTTTTTAGATTAAAATATACAGGGTGTTCTAGTTAAAAAATGAGGTCAAGTCCAGTAACTTTCTGCTGACATCGTATAATGCACTAATTTCAGATTACTCAGCAAGTAGTTTTGTAATAAAGATTTTTTCGTGTCTCTTCATTTTGATATTGACAATTTTTGATTTTCCCTTGTATCTCTTTAGCGAGCGCTAGAATTTTTGAAAATTTTCATTTTGGGCCATTTTCTAGGATCGTAATTATTGGGGGCAATTTATGCGGAACAGTACAATTAATGTGGATGCCAACAGGATTATTAAGAAATTTTGCAATTTTTAGAATAATATGTCAACTTCACAGACGGTTTCAGGAATTGAACCTTCGAATTCGAAAGTTTGCTATGCTTAAAAAGCTCCTGTAGGAAATAAGCAGGGAAACAAGGAAATATTTCTCCATTTTTGGGGTAGTTGCAGAAAAATTACGTGTAGGTTGTTAAAATAGAGATGTTCTATCTATCATCTCCACGAACACTTTAGTGGTTAGTTTTTAAGAATTATTTCTCAATTTGTGGGGTGGTTGCAGAAGAATTGGGCACGGGATGTTAAATAGGAATATTCCGCCTACCATCCCTATGAAACCTGTTTCTTCAGCTTCCCAGGAATTTTTAGCTTCCTAGCATGTGCTAGGTAACTATTGCGATAGCCGTTTTTTGAATATTTCAAAATTTCATCAAATGTCGACGTTTTAGACCATTTTAAGCAACTTTTAAAGAATAAAATTTTTTTCCGTCTGTACGTACGTACGTACGTTTGTTAGCAATTTTCTGAGAAAACGGCTCGACGGATTTTGTTGAAATTTTGTATATATGTTTTAGGCATACCGAACAGAAAAATAACGGGCCGGATTTTTGAAAAGAAATTTTGGAGCGCCGTAACGGCATCGAACTTTTTTTTTCAAATAGCAACCTAAAATTTTTATTCTATTATTTGGAAGACCTTATTTTCCTGTGTACAACCTACAAAAAATTGGGCCGGGTTATATTATCAAAAAACGGAGAAAAAAATTGTCAAAGTCAAAAAATTGTGTTGCATATGTGCAAAACCAACGATCTTGTTTCTGAAGCAATTTAAACGAAATTTCTATGGTAAGTCCCTTTAATAAAAGCAAACAAAATTCATGCGCAAAAATCGTGTTGCGCATGCGCAGAAATGCAATTTTCTTATTTATGGAACAATTAAAACGAAATTTGGATGGTAGGTCCTCCTAATAAAAGAAAACAAAATGCATGCGCAAAAAATCGAGTTGCGCATGTGCAACATCCAACTTTCTTATTTATGGAGCAATTTTAACGAAAATTGGATGGTAGATCCCTCTAATAAAAGCAAACAAAATGCATGCGCAAACATCGTGTTGCGCATGCGCAGAAATGCAACTTTCTTATGTATGGAACAATTTTAACGAAATTTAGATGGTAGATCCTTTTAATAAAAGCTAATAAAATGCATGCGCAAAAAATGCACCTTTCTTATTTTTTCCGTCTGTATGTACGTACGTACGTTTGTTGGCAATTTTCTGAGAAAACGGCTCGAC